TTGTCAAAATATCGCTCCGATCCTGGTCATTGCCACCATAGTAATCATGACTCTCTAAGCATGCTTCAAGGAATATAATGAATTCATTGGGATGGTCAATGAAGGAGGAAAAAATGATACTGGGTCTTGGAGGAAGATAAGTGGGCGAAATGTCGTCCTCTTGTTCATTTTCTGACGTTGAGGTTTCGGTTAACGAGGCCATATATGATACAAACGCTTGATAGCTCTGTAAAACCGGAAACTGTTTTTCTTCAGGTTCAGAGATTTTCTCTTCCTGCGAAACAGTGGTAGGTTTAAACTTGCCTGTGAATACTTCGATTAAGAGTTTGGTTGTGGGATGTGGAAGGCGGGTTAGAAATGGTTTCAAATGATCTAGTAGAACTCTCAGCAAATCTTCTATTTGCAACGTTCGCAGGTATGCGAGTGTTGATTTTGTTTTATTCAAATCATTCAGTTCAATATCGACTACGATGGATGGCTCGTTGAACTGTTTAGCTATGGTCGAAGCAACTTCTAAGTAATCGCTCTCTCTGCAGAGATCAATTAGGGTAAAGAGATCAAATTCAACATCTGGGTGTTTCTGAGGAAATTCTAAAAGTTTGTCGATCTGTTTCAGCTTGCAATAGGAACATAACAATAAAGTGATATGATCTTTTCTTGCTTGTCCTTTTTCAACCATCGCTTCTAGGTACAAAGCCAGGCGTGAAATTTTCGAACTATCCTTATACTTGGCAATTATTTCACTGGTTTTCCCGAGTTCCAGACATTTGATGTACTCAGTCATTGCCTCTCCATACGATTGTTGGTCATATAAGTAATCTCCATACTTTCTGTGAATAGTTGAAATGTCACTTTCTTCAATGCCAGTCATTGATTGGGCAAGTCTTATGGCAATATCATACAAATTACGGGAAACAACAATATCTAGTTGAGCTTTTTGTTCCAGTTCATGTATTCGGTAAAGAATTCCGTCTGAACCCAGCATATACACGTCATCCCATAGGAGAAAAATGTTGCTGATGGCAGTTTCTATGTTCTCATTAAGGGCGATAAACATGTTGACAACATCTACGATCAACAATTTGTGGTCATTGGAAAAAATTAAGATGTACTTCCCAAATGCAAAAAGCTTTTTCTTGGAAATATCCAAAGCGATGGCATTCGATTTACCTCTGGTTGAATAACATTGTAACATTGAGTCATTTCCCACGACAAGATGCCTCTTGTGGTCCAAAGTGCAACAGCCGACGTCAACCCCAACTCCTCTATCAATAATCTTATCAGGTTTCCCTTGATTCTTACCAGTTGTTGGTATAGTATAAATTTTGCTTGTAGTGGTCAGATAGAGAGCGTTCTCGTCCTTGAACAGCAAGTTGGTCACTGGCTCATTACTCTCGAATACTAGCCTCTGTCTGGTACCTTTATCATGTAGTAAATCTCCTCTAACCAATATAACACTACCATTACTAAATCCAAAACATAGGATGGAGAAGTTATTGCAGTGAGTAAATGCAGTCATGGGGAAAGTATTGTTGCCATTGGCAATCTGACAAGAAGAATGGAAATCAAATTCCAAAGATTCATCCGATTTCTCCATAGCCATCAACTTTTTCAGATTCCACAGTTTGAGAGTAAGAGGGAAGCCCTGTCTTTCAGCAATTGTACACAAAAAATGAGCGTCAGTTAAATAAACTAGATGTACAATATTCCATCCCAATTCATATGCTGTAAAGTCGAATTTCTTAATGTAGTCTTTAGTGATTAGCTGGACCTTGTTGAATGCTGTGGCAATAATTAGATAGTCTGGGGAAGCACATATGCTTGTCAGCGAAGGATCAGAATAGAGAGGTTCATCTGAGCCCAGACTGGGATCCTTGATGGGGGTTAGTTCAAAGAAGGAGAACTGCCTCCAACTTGACAGAGACATTATTAGTTTGGAGGGGTCTACTCTAGACGGTTTGATAGTGTTGATAGAATCGCGCACCAACTTCTACTGTCCTTTACGTTTATGCTCGAAAGAACTTAATTCCGAATCTCCCCTCATCGCTTGTTTCTTTCTGGAAGCGTGTTTCACAGCTGCTTCACAACTACCATGAGTCGTCTTATAAGTAGAGCGGGGCATCTCGGTGGTGGATAAACCAATGCCTCATCCTCTTACCTCTGCAAGTAATCAATATGATCAGAGTTGGCACCAGGAAATGAACCCCTACGCTTTATCGTTCTGGGATATTGCAAGATCTGGGGAACCGAACTCGTCTAATCTTTATCGGCTGATTCAATATGAATGCTCCTACTATATGAATTTGAACAGATGCATCTGGATATACAAGAAGAACTGTCCGTTGAAGAAAGAGCAGCAATTGAGCTTGTTTAATAACCTTTCAACTATGATGGATCTCAGTTTACGCTTTCTTCATGACATTTACACGGAATACCATGGAATACCAAAGTTACTGGAGACTTTTGGAAATCTATCATTTGTCAAAGATCTTCCGGGAAACGTATCCATTGATATTTCCACAGTTTTGGAGACTCATCTAGTTCGAAGCTCGGCTCTGTATGCTTCATATCTCGGAAACAGAGACGACCAATACTGGCTATACTGTTTAATTAAGGATTCTGCTTCCCGTTGGTTGACTTCTCGAAACAAGATATCAGTGGAAATGGATGGTTATGACGATTTGATGGCCTACTTGAGAGAACCAGCTCAACTCGGAATAATATACCAAGAGTACATTGAATCCTTGGAAGATGATGAAGTGAAGAACAAACTACTCTCTTATATGAGCTCATTCAAAGCGGAGGAAAAGGAATATTTCAAAGTTGATGATGTCATTGATGAAGCATATGAAATAGATAGGGTCCTAGGCGAATTGAAACTAGGTGTGAAAGACACAATGGCTTGCATCCAACACCACTTTGACAGCAACCTTAAAGTTTGTCAATATTTTCAGCATTGTAGTAAATTGTCAGATACTTCCAGAATTGAATCCAAGTATATCGATTCGTCATATTCTTGTTATATGGATAAGTTAAAATCTCAGCAACAACAGTTTGAAGAAATATTTGAAGGATTTAAAATGAATCTACAGAATCCAATCGACCAGTTTTTGGCCATCTCCAACCATTTCAAGGTTTGGATTGAAAGGTATTTGAAGTATAGCAAGAAGCAGTTCAGGTATTGGGATCGTCTTTTAGAGTCGAGAGATAGGTTGAAAGCTTTGGAACCATTTTTGGAGCTTAGTAGGATGCTTGTTTCCTGTATTCCAGAATTGTACGTCCAGCTCATTACCGATTTTCTTAGATTGATTACCGCTGGCTCAAAAGTTTACACATACAAACAGTTACTCGGTCTATTTGAGGCACATACCAAGCTAAACAAGCAGGCAATACTCAAATCAGATTCGAAGCTCATCCAGTTCTCAATTGGAGAGATGAGCACTACAATGGTTTTACCTTCAAAACACATGTGGGACAGGCAAGCCAGCTTGAAACAATAGACGAAACAATAGAATCAAGAGTGCACACTTTTTCGTGCATATCTATTGGCTGGCGAACACTGTATGAATCCTTGTTTCGAAAGTCATCCAAAAAATCGCAGAGCCTCAGACAAACATGTATTCCGTCATCTGAAACTAATTTTCATCAAACAATTCCCCTAGTCTGATTCAAAAATTCGGCATCTTAATACTGTTATTATAACCAATTAAAGTAGTAACTTCCCAAAGGAGATTTTTCTCGCGATTGCTTTTCCTGTTGCACACGATAGGTATCGAACAAGGCGATTCTCTCTCCATAATACATTTCGAAACCTGAACTAATTGTTGTTGAAAATGTCTGAATCAATCGAATCAAAGGGCCCTCAAACCACTTGCTGTGGTGGTAAATGCCTTAGCCAGAAATCTACATCAATCTTAACTTGGAAGAACCCAATTAAGACTGGTACGGTCTTTGGGGGAATCATTGTTGCATTGTTGCTGATCCGATACGTTAATGTGTTCAAATTGGTCTTTAGACTGGCTACTTATGTTCTCTTTGCCACTGCAAGTGCTGAATTCATAGGTAAGATTGCTGTCGGTCAGGGATTCATTAGCAGAATCCGCCCTGAGTACTTTGCAAAACTCTCCAGTAAGGCACCTCTTGTGGCTGATCACATCGCCAAGTATCTGTCTGGATTTGAGTTAAAGTTTCAGCAATTGCTCTATGCTGAGAATGTTGAGAACACATTCAAAGCTGCTGGTATCTCTTACATATTGTACATCTTGACAGGATTGATCTCTGTCTGGTGGTTGTTATTTGTGTCGACCCTTGTGGTTTTCACTGTACCTAAGCTGTACGAAGTTTACCAGAAAGAGATTGATGAAGCCGTTACTCGTTATGCCGAAGTTGCAAAGAACAAGGCTGACGACTTACAGACTCTGGCTATTGAGAAATCAAAGCCTTTATTGGACAAGGCTGAGACTCAATTGGGACCAGTAGGCAAGTACGTTAAGCAAGCTTTCCCTGTCAGAACTGCATCCACCTCAGCCAAGGCTGGCATCCCTGCTGAAACCCCTGAGAAAGAAGTTCCTCAATCTGCTGCTGATGTGAAAATTTCAGAGACTGCCTCTGAGAATATAAGCGAATTGCCATCCGCTCCAAACACCAAGTTGGAGGACTTTGTTGCAGACGTTGAGAAGAAGACAGATGAGTCAAGAGCTGAACTTGCTGCTGAAGGAGTTGCTTTGTAGTGTTCTGACTTTGGAGTTATATTATTATACTGTGTGAAAATATAATTATTTTGTGACGGATTTTGTAGTGAGGGTCTGAAATTTCACATGAAATTCCAATTTTGAGGTCTACCCATTAAGTTTAGTCAGACCATGAAACAAGCTAGCCGTATTTGAATAAGAAATGTAACAATTTCTCAATTGGAAAGTTTCTGTGGTGGTTTTTGGGTGCCTCAAATTATGCACTTCCTGAACCATCAGTCTATCATTTACCAAGACTGATTTGCCTCAGGGCGTGTGGTCTAGCGGTAGGATTCTCGCTTCGGGTGTGAGAGGTCCTGGGTTCGATTCCCAGCTCGCCCCGAGTCTAATTTTTTGTAGGAAATCAGATTCGCGCATCGAACGTTTTTTTTCACAAGTTTTTTTTTCTTGATCTCAAAAAATTATTCAGATCATCGCTTCCAGCCTACACAGACTACAAAAACCCAATCTCCACTTGTCGCCCATCCAATAAAAGTAGCCCCATTAAAGCCGACCTCATCCCTCTCACGCGGTAATTGTTGTCGTACATGATGTCTCCTTGTTCCTTTTCCTGCATGTAATTAAAGATCGTTTCTTTTTCGTTAACGGATTGATCCCCCCTGAACCAAGTGCTTTCCGCTAATGCCCTCCTAGTGTTCCCTGCTCAAATCTCATCTTTATTCGCGTCAGCCTCCATCCCTACTTTTGTCAGCGTCTTCATTTGAGAAAAGGTAAACAAAATCGCGACGAGATTGTTTCAGATGCAGCCTCACAGGAGGAGATCGAGTCTCGATGCTACCTTGGCACTAGGAATCGGCCTTTTAGTGGGCCAAAATTCTTCCCTGTTTTCTCTTCTTCTTTTCTTCACGTTTTGACGATTTTCATACAAAAGGTCACTAAATCCTTCACTCACTCTATTATTTAAGTGTTTTTCCCACACTAGTCATTCCTTTTATCAACCATGCAAGTTAAATCTATCGTTAACCTACTGTTGGCATGTTCGTTGGCCGTGGCCAGACCTTTGGAGCACGCTCACCACCAACATGACAAGAGAGGTGTTGTCGTCGTGACCAAGACCATCATTGTCGACGGTTCCACCGTTGAGGCTACCGCAGCAGCCCAGGTCCAAGAGCACGCTGAAACTATCGCAGAGTCGACTCCTTCAGCTGTTGTTGCTAGTTCAGCAGCTCCTTCCGCTGCTTCTTCTGCTTCTGCTCCTGCCTCTTCCGGTAGCTTCTCCGCTGGAACCAAAGGTGTCACCTACTCTCCTTACCAAGCCGGTGGTGGATGTAAGACTGCAGAGGAGGTCGCCTCCGATCTTTCCCAGTTGACCGACTACGAGATTATCAGATTATACGGTGTTGACTGTAACCAAGTCGAGAACGTTTTCAAGGCTAAGGCCCCAGGTCAAAAGTTGTTTTTGGGAATCTTCTTTGTTGATGCTATCGAGAGCGGTGTCAGTGCTATTGCCTCCGCTGTCAGCTCCTACGGTTCTTGGAACGATGTCCACACTGTCTCTGTTGGTAACGAGTTGGTCAACAACGGTGAGGCCACTGTTTCCCAAATCGGTCAATACGTTTCTACCGCTAAATCTGCCCTGAGATCTGCTGGTTTCACCGGTCCAGTTCTTTCTGTCGACACTTTCATTGCTGTCATCAACAACCCAGGTTTGTGTGACTTTGCTGACGAATACGTTGCCGTTAACGCTCACGCTTTCTTTGACGGTCACATTGCTGCCTCTGGAGCTGGTGATTGGGCTGCCGAGCAGATCCAAAGAGTTTCTTCCGCCTGTGGTGGTAAGGATGTCCTCATTGTTGAGTCCGGATGGCCATCAAAGGGAGACACCAACGGTGCTGCCGTTCCTTCCAAGTCAAACCAACAGGCCGCTGTCCAATCTCTAGGTCAGAAGATCGGTTCTTCTTGTATTGCCTTCAACGCTTTCAACGATTACTGGAAGGCCGACGGTCCTTTCAACGCTGAGAAGTACTGGGGTATCCTGGACTCCTAAGCGATGGAAGTCTGACCTTCGATTTTTCTCTTTTGTTGTTTTATTTTGATTATTTCTGCTCTGGAATAGTAGCTTGATACCACTGTTAACTTTTTTTTTTATAAATTGTGTATTATTTCATGAGCCTTCTTTCGTTAACTCCGATTAGTTCTTCCTTTACTGTGTGGGTCAGATCAGCAATGCATCGTCTTGAAATTCGTACGAAATATGCCTCATGTATCTTGTGGAAAATCTGCATGTGGGTTAAGCTAGATACTCTATGTGGCAATATTTGGCAATTTCCTGATCTGGACATTCCTGCGGGTCTGGAACTGGGTGAGATTTTGAAAATTTGTGGCATTGGCAAGATGGGTAGCTCCAGTAAAGGTCGTAGGTTCGACACTGTCAATGTGATTTTATTAATATTTGAACCTTTTTTTTTTTTTCTCAAATTTTTCTCTATAATTTTCTTTTTCTTTGTAAGACAGGCTACATCAATAGCACACAACTGAGATGGGATTGGCTGAACCAAAGAATAGACAACGGTTTGGGTTGGACCCCAGAAACACAACATGGTCCAACGATACCTCCCGATTCGGCCACCAGCATCTGGAAAAGTTGGGCTGGACACCTGGATCAGGGCTGGGGCTGGTTTCTCATGCCACAACCACGCACATTAAGGTAAGAGTCAAGGATGATAATACCGGATTGGGAGCCAAGCTGGCTCGTAAGAATAAGAAAGATGAGTTTGACAGCGGAGAGTGCACTGGTTTGGACGTTTTCCAGAGACTTTTGGGACGTTTGAACGGGAAGGAGGATGAGATAGGCGAAGAATTGGATAGACAAAGAAAAGAAAGCGTCATTAATGGTAAATGGGGAATTGCATTCGTCAAAGGGGAGACCTTGCAGAGCACTTGGGACAAAGAGGCCAAGGCGTTTGTTTTAAGACGTAAGAGGAGAATAAGCGAGACTTTGGAGGATGCAGAAATGCAGAGGAAGTTGTTGAAGACAGAAAGAAGGGAGAGGAAAGAAAAGAAAGAAAAGAAACAGAGTGGGGACAAACCCAAGAAGGAGAAGTCTGAAAAGAAAGCCAAAAAGGAAGCTATTAAAGAAGCTAAGAAAGAAGCTAAAAGACAAGCTAGAAGGGAAGCTAAGAGGGAGGCTAAAAGGGAATCAAGAGACAACCTGAAAAAGCCAGAGATCATAGAAAATACAGTTACCAAGGAAAGCATGCTGCTGCCAAAATCAAACACAACTATAATTGCTTCAAGACTTGCGGTCAGATCGAGGTGGATCAAACAGAAGCGTGCTGCTGTTATGGACTCTAAAGCTCTCAATGAAATATTCATGGTAGCTCAGTAAAATAAATAATGTACCATATTTTCTATTTTTCTTATAAAAAAATTGACTATAAAAGAGTGTAAGTGAATCCTGAAGTCACAAATGTTACAAAGAATGCGGCCATCAATAACTCTGATCCGGACTTTGGCTTGTGAATGAACGCAGCATCATCGGACTCAGTGGAAGTGGCATCAGCAGATGATCCCGATCCAGATCCAGTGCCTGAGCTACCTGAACCAGTGGAAGTTCTACTGGAGCTTGGTGCAGTACCAACGGTAGAGGCAGACTCCAAAATGGATGCACATGAGGAAACGATAGTGGTACTTACGACCGAGGCAGAGCCGTCAAAGTCACAAGCAGAAGCGGCACCGTTCTGGTCCTCGTAATATAAATTCAAAACGAAAGAAAGCTTCTCCTTGGCATCGCAGAAAGAGTAAGGTCCGTATTCACCAATCTCAGCATCGGTTCCAATGTCTCCACACTCAACACGCGAACAAACGTAATTAAAAATGTCTGCGTAGTCTTCTGGTTCAACGTCGTCGGAAACAACACAAGCTAGGGTGTTTTGCAAACAGTCACAAACCTCCTTGTTTGGAGTTGGAGGAAGATCGGTAGATGCTCTCCAGTTGTTTCCGGTTGGTGGGCATTCTAATTCAGTGGCGGTGGCAGAAACTTCAGATTGAGTAGCGAGCGATGGGGAGATAGTGGCCAATTCGGACCTAAGGTAGTTAAAGTCCGAATAAGTTGAAACATCTCCATCTGGCTCGATGGTAACCAAACCGTAGTTGTTTTCCTCTTCGAAATACATGTAGACAATACCTCCGGACCAGACATCAGTCATGTTTGGACCGTAAAGAGCTTCAACTTCCGTAAACAAACGTGGTTGAACTTCGTTACAACCATACTCAGAGAAGAATAGAGGAACTGAAAGGTTTCTGAAGTCTTCGGTTCTATCGTCGTATCCTGAAGTTGTGAAAGAAGATCTACCACACCATGAGTAGATGTTGTAACCGTAGAAGTCAGCCCTAACGTCCGAGTCACCACAAGCAAAGTAGTTAGCGGAAGAAATTCTCGTGAGCGCGTCATCATTGGCAGAATAACCAATTGGGATTTGTCTGTAGCCCTGGTCCTCCATGTAAGTCTTCATATCACGGATGGCAGCTTTAACGAATGGAGCTGCATCGGTGTTTGATCTGTTTGTGATAACTTCGTTACCGGCGAAGAAGCCAAGAACGTTGTCGTACTGTTGCATTTCGTCAATAACTGAGGTGTAACGGTCATACAAATGGACATCCCAAGCCGGATCAGTGGTGATGATAGAATCACCTGGTTCAGAGAGATCAGCAATGACGTAGATACCGGCCTCTTCAAGCAATTGCATACATTCGTCGTGATCAGCGTCCACGTCGATGGCGTAAACACGAATGACGTTTGTGTGTAGCTGCTCTAAGTAAGGGAAATCACGCCTACAAGTTTCGACATTAGCCAGCGGATCGATGAAGGTATCGGTTGTGGTGGAGTTGGACGTATCCTGTTGGTAGGCGATACCCTTCATGTAGAACTGGGATCCATTGTTGGAGAAGAAGAACTTGTTTCCTGTGACCTCTATAGGTGGAGTCAGATCTGAAGCACAAGATAGGCCCAAAAGAGTTAATGCACTTAAAATGGACAACATTGCTTCGGGGTGATACAAAGAGTGGATTGAAAGGAAAAAATAGGGAAAAGGAAACGAATTTATCCAAAAAGAAGATCAGAATAGGAAAACAATCTCGGTAGCAGTTTTGCCAAGAAATTCACGCCCAAGTGGGTGATTTTTCAGGATGCTAAATATATCCACGCAGGGTGGTTACCTCTTTCGGTCTATTGGTAGAAAAACACCGAGGGTTGTGACGTTTCTGAAAAATTCAGAGAGATGCGAAACTTGACAGCTTGAGCGTGACTTAGATACCTAGGGTCCATGATCATCCATATTGGTCACGAATGGGACCGGCAGCACCATCTGTGAGCTAGCGTG